GACACCTGGCACTGTGGGAGCCATGCCAGTGCCAAATGGCTGAGAGTCACCAAGCTGGCAAGCATAGTCAGGCTTGGAGAGCTGGTTCATGTCCCCCATAACAGACACATGAGGACTACCTTCAGAGGCTAGAGGGTGGGGTCCCCAAGTGCCAAGCCAAACCTCTGTTTACTGCATCTTCACACAGCAGGAAAGCCCATGTCTGGGGAGAAAGGCTGGCGCTGGTCCAGGAGAGCCAGGTCAGGTGTCCCACAGAACTCAACCATCGCTTGCTATATGCACACTCTCCTCAGGGCCTAACAGCTCCCTCAATATATAGGTTTTTTTTTTCTTAACCCCAAGTCTCTGAAGAACCAAGGTCTTGTCTCAGAGGACAAAGGGTTATTTGCCAGTCTGGCGACGACCTGCTGTGAAGTTTACCCTTCGCCAAGGATGCTGGACCCTGCCTACCCTGGGCACAGACGAGGGTGGGGACATCCTCATCCATTTAACACTGAACAGATACTTTGTGAATGTGGGGGGGGGGCGCCGAGGTCACCACTCGGGACCAGTCTGTTCTCCACCTTATTTCCTGAGAAGTCTCTCACTGAAGCTGGCGCTCACCTTTTCGGTTCAACCAGCTAACCAGCAAGCTCTTGGGATCTACCTGTCTTCCCTGAACCCTGTGGTGATGTTATAAACGTGCTGCCATGATGGCTCTTTCTTTAGGTTCTGGGGATCTGAACTCAGGCCATCAGTCTTGTGCCACAAGCGCTTACCAAGTCTCCCCAGCCCTGAACAGATATGCCGCCTCCTTCTCTCTCCCTCTCCCTTCCCTCTCTTTCCATCTCTCCTCCTCTCTCCTCTTACCTCCTTTTCTTCCCCCTGCCCCTCTCACCCTCTCCTTTTCTCCTACCTTTCCTCTCTCTCCCTCCCCTCTCTCCCTCTTCCTTCTTTGCTTCCTCTCTCTCCCCCGCCCCTCCCCTCCTGCTCCTATTTCCTCTTTCCCTTTCCCCACCCTGTTCCCGCTCTCTCTCTCCTCCCTCTCTCCTTATTTTTCTTCTCCTCCCCTCTCCTCTCAGACAGGGTTCTATGTAGCTCTGGCTGACCTGGAACATACTGCGTAGACCAAGCTTGCCACAGACTTGCTCAAAGTAATTCTCCTGCCTCAGCTTCCTGCGTACTGGGATTACAGACATGTACTACTGTGACGCCCTGCCTTAACAGCTTTGAGTACTTGTTATGTGCCAGGAATAATCTAGGCCCTAGGAAACTACAAAGTAAGTATATCTTTAGGAAGCATTTGACTTCTGTGTAGGCTATGGTCAGTAAAGCAACTATGCTGGCAAGAGGTGAAAAGCATTTGGGGGAAGAGCAGCAGGGGGAACTCCTATCTGCGGTCTCTACACTGGTGTACAGTAACCGGCTACTTTTTCAGATGAACAAAAGAAACACACTTGCCAGGTGGTGGCAGCATACACCTTTGATCCTAGCACTTGGGAGGCAGAGGCAGGCAGATCTCAGAGTTCGAGCCTGGTCTACAGAGTGAGTTCCAGGACAGCTAGGACCACACAGAGAAACCCGCTCTTGGAAAACAAAAAAGAACGCACACACTCTTCCTTGGCAGGAATGTCTGCTCCCCCTCTAAGTTCAGGACGATGCATGACAACCCCAGCATGCCCCTCCCAGGTGGCACACTGGGAAAGCTCTCTGGGCAACATCCCCTCCTTCCTGTTGCTTCTTTGCCTTACATGACTCTCCCCTGGGTCTGGACACCAGGCCTTTGCTGAGTGCACTGGAGGCTTCTCTGCCTTTGGTGGTGACCCTCCCCTGCGTCTGGACACCAGGCTGAGTGCACTGGAGCTTCGGTGGTCGGTAGTTTGGATTTTTCCATCCTTCGCAGACACCTTCTCCAGTGACAAATGTTTTCAGTTCCCCATCACTTCTAATTCAGAGTTGACTTTCTATCTGGAACAAGAAAAAGATGTCCTGGAAAGTTATACCTTCGGGACTTACCTCCACAACAACCAAACACAGGCAAGTAATAGTCCCCAGCTATCCAGAGTACCCCACCATCCCCTGCCCAGACCCCTGGATCATCTGCATTGGTCTGGGTATAACCTCGGTCTGGTGCTCCAGAGCAGGGGCTGTGTCTCTAGAGTGGAACCCTGTACACAGCTCCAGGCACCAGGCACATCCTCTTTCTCCACAGTTATGTCTCAGCTCTGCCTCTGTCTCCGAGCTCCTCCGGGGCAGGCAGGTCCAGATCTGCACCAGCCAGGGTCCTCCAGTGTCATCCCATCCCCAGAGAGTGGACACTTAGCCGTCAGCCGTCAGAAAGCCCCCATGAGTACACCTGCCCTGGCTCAGTACTCAGGAGCAGGGGTGAAAGATGGAAAGGGGAGGGTGTGGGACCTACCCCAAACCTGAGCTGCCAGGTGGCCCCCACATGGTATGTCAGCACTGGTAATGCTGAGGCAGGAGGATTGTCTCCAAAATAAATAACACGAAGATAAACGAACATCTCTTTTAAGTAGGTCCCACCAGGGATTGTTCTCATGTGTCAGTTCGTGAGGTTTTTATAAACGCATGACAGACAAATGGGAAACTTGGTTAATTATAGACTTAACAAATTGCCTTTATTAAAAAGAAAAAAAATCATAAAATTAGGATTGTCCCCGAGGAGTGAACACAACCACAAATGCTCTCTTCACGGCAAGTAAGCCAAGCTCCTCCCTCTCTGTCTGACCACGTCTCCCACCACAGGTCCTGTGGGCCTGTCACCTCGCTAGCCTGAGCCCAGCCAATCAGAAGTCAGCCTCGGGACATTTCTGATGTCCCGCCTGCTCCGAGACTGACAAATGCATGCTCCGCCCCCACCCGCGCCACCTAGAGGGTGAGGAGCGCAGGTGCGGCGTCTGCGCAGACGATGCAGGGTCAGGTCCTAGGTGGATCTCTGCGGGTAGGCTGTGTGGGGTGCTGCGGTGTTTTTCTGGAGGGGAACTGTAACCAGCGCCGTCAGCCTTGGTACTCAGCTAGTTGTGTTGTGAATTATATCCCCGCTTTTTATATTTTCCTTTAAAAAAAAAAATTAGATAAGGGAAAATTGGCTCAGAAAAGTGACCAGAGAGCATTGTCCATTTTTTTTTTCTTGGCCTGTTACTCACTGCGTAAAACAGACTGACCTTTAACTTGCAGTAATCCTCCTGCCTCTGCTTCCCAAATGCTAGAACTGCAAGCATGTGCTACCGCACCTAGCCTCCGAAGCTATTTTAAATGCTCCATCACTTCTATGGACACTGTGGATGCCTGGAATGTGGATAGGGTGGCAAACCCCCGCACACCCCCGACCCCCATCTTCACTCACCTCCTACCTCCTTCCACTTTACCTTACTAGAGGCACGCAGGAGTGTGCCCAGACCTTCAGATGGGCCAGCCAAGGCATCTTCATACTGGAGGCCCTCAGGTTATACCAGACACAGAACTGAAACAGCCAGGATTCACTCTGCTACCAGTTCCTATTCTAAACGGAAGGCCCAGGGATACAGATGTTTCCCTTGATTAACTCGATGATCCTCAGGAGGGTAAGCTATCACTCACACCATGCCACCCTGGCTTTGGGCAGTCCAGATGTGAGGGGGTGCACCTCAATATGATGGGACAGTGTCAGGAGAGCTCCTTATATTTTTATTTTTTGATTTTTTGGGACAGGGTTTCTCTGTGTAACATCCCTGGTTGCCCTGGGACTCCCGCTGTCGACCAGGCTGGCCTCGAACTAATAGAAATCCTCCTGTCTCTGCCTCTACTGGTTTTAAAAGTGGGTGTCACCACTGTCTGGCTGAGGAGGTATTCTTTATTGAGTGTCTACAAGGAGCAACAAGTCTTAGGATTCTGGATGGGATAGCAGCTGCCCCCAACCCCAAGAGACTTGTTTTAGTCGTGAAATATTGTACACCAGTTTTACACAAAGGAAAATACCCCATTAGAATCTTCCAATCACACAGCTCTGCTTTTCTTGTCAGAGAGAGAGAGAGAGAGAGAGAGAGAGAGAGAGAGAGAGAGAGAAAGAAAGAGAGATCATGGTGGAGGAGAGAAAGGCAGAGAAATGCCCCCTGAGACGTGGGAGGAAGTCTGCCATGTTAGGATTTAGAGAACTCCTAAATCAGGCCTCTCCCTGTGGATCTGACACCTGTTTTGGAAACTCCTGCTTGGCCAAGGGAGGAAGTCACAGAGGGAGTCATAGTCCCTGCTTAGGGTTGCCTGAGAACAGAGATCATATCAGTCATGACCCCAAGAGATCCACTCAGCAGGGGCTCAGTAGACTGAAGTAAGCCACACCCAAAGGCTACTGGAAGTAGTCCTGGGATCCAGAGGCCTCACCCCTGAAGTACCCAAGTTAGCCCTGGTAGAACCAGCAGAAATTCCAAGATCCAAGACCCCCACCTGCCCCCCACACCTTTACTTCTTGGGCCTGAGGCTCCAAGCCTCCAGACTCTGAACCCCCAAGGCCTGTTTTATGGAGCCCACCAAGGCAGGCACAGGGAAGTACAGGAGGCTACAAATTTCTGATCTGATGTCCAGCTCTAGTGTTACCTAGCAACCAGCCTGGGTTTTCCTCCAGATCTTGTGTCACCTTCTCACCTCTTCCTGGCTGCCTCTCCCCCGGGGCTCCAGGCACCTTAGCTCCTGGTTTCTGGTTCTGTGGAATGAAGACTTAGCTTCCAGTGAGGCCCCGGTGCCTGAGGCAGTCAGCGTTTCTAGGTGCTGCTGGGATTCGAAGTGCCTGGAACACCAGGAGGAGGAACAGCAAGGAGAGGCTGTCTTAGACCTGCCAGGGAGGGACAGAGCTGGGAGCGCTGGGCCTTCTGGAACCCTTTGGTTATCTCCTGTAGGCTGCAAGCTCAGGTCTGGTCCTGGCGCTGGAACTGACCCGCCACCAAGAACTCCCTGGGCCTAGTAGCCTCTTCCCTAGAATGGATATTTGCTGTTTGATGTTTTACTCTTTAAGATTTTTGTGGGGGGCGACCTGCCGCCCCTCGCCCGCACCGACGAGTCGGCACGGCTGTCCAGAGCGCCATGTCGGGTTCCTCTAGCGTCGCCGCCACGAAGAAGGTGGTTCAGCAGCTCCGGCTGGAGGCCGGGCTCAACCGCGTGAAGGTTTCCCAGGTAGCTGCAGACTTGAAACTGTTCTGTCTGCAGAATGCTCAACATGACCCTCTGCTGACTGGAGTGTCTTCCAGTACAAATCCCTTCAGACCCCAGAAAGTCTGCTCCTTTTTGTAGTCCGCTATCTTGAGGTTTCTTAAACCAGTGGCTATTGAAGAGAACTAGATCTGGAGTCTGTACAGAAGCTTCTCTAACGCGTGCCATAATACAGTCTTTGCTTGTCAATCCTTAACGTCTACCTCTCTGAATCTTCATGGATTTCTGTTTCACAAGGTTTAACTATTTTATATACACTGGCTGTAGCGTACAATAAAACAGCATACAAATTTAAAAAAAAAAAAGATTTTTGTGGGGCCCACCACCCAACTCCCAGATAAGTCATACACAGAGGCTTATTCTTAGTTATGAATGTCTAGTTTTTAGCTTAGCTTGGTTTGCTTCTTCCCAGTTTTTCTTCATTTAAATTATTCCAACTACCTTTTGCCTCTGGGCTTTTATCTTTCTCTATTTCTTTATACCTTTCTTTCCTTCTTGCTCTGTGGCTGGCAGTGTAGCTGGATGGCTGACCCCTGCTGACCCCTGCTGACCCCTGCTGTCCTCTCCGTGTTCTCTCCTTGCTCCTTTTTCTCTTAGTTCTCCTTCTATTTATACTCTCTGTCTGCCAACCCCTCCTTTCCTTGCTCCTGCCTTCTTGCTATTGGCCATTCATTGCTTTATTAGACCATCAGGTGTTTTAGACAGGCAAAGAATCACAGCTTCACAGAGTTAAATGAATGTAGAGACAGGCAAAGAATCACAGCTTCACAGAGTTAAATGAATGTAGCATAAACAAAAGTCACACACCTAAAAACCATATTCCCCAACAGACATGACAGTTCCAAGCCCACCTGCCTGCCTACCCGCCTGCCTGCCTGCTCACCTTCTTTCCTGCCTGCCCACCTGCCCGCTTGCCCGCCTGCCTGCCACTGTGACAAGAATATAACTAGAGCTCCTCATCCTTCTGGCCCCCTAGGAGATGGGACAGAAAGAACATGGGTTGCCATGAATCATAGTGGTGTTGGTAGCATATGCCAAGCACCATCCCAGGCACTAGACACTCTCATTTAATCCTAAGAGCCCTAAATAGGCAAGGCCATCACTGCCACTAGCAACATTAAGCTCACTAAAGCTAGTGAAGTCCTCTGGAGGATGTGTGTTCGCCCAAAGCAGTGGTTCTCAACCTATGGGTCGCGACCCCATTGTGGGTCATATGTTGGGTATTTATTATGATTCATAACAATAGCAGAATTACAGTTATGAGCTGGGCAGTGATGGTGCCCATCTTTAATCCCAGCACTCAGAAGGCAGAGACGGATCTCTGTGAGTTCAAGGCCAGCCTGGTGTACAAAGTGAGTTCTAAGACAGCTAGGGCTACACAAAGGAACCCTGTCTCAAAACAAAAATTACAGTAATGAATTAGAAAGGAAAATAATTAATTAAATAAACCACACCCCTGAAGAACTCTCAGGTGGAGAAAAGGACCTTGCTAGAAATCTAGCCCGAGTTTATTATTCTCTCCAGCTTCTGGGTGGCTTGGGAAAAAATGGTTACCTTTTCTGGGCTTTCATGCCCACATCACTTGACTTCCATGGCTCAGGTTCCTTCCTTCAAAGCCAACTGCTGAGGGTCTCAGCACTCTACTCCCTCCTCCTCTGGGCTGAGGACCCTGTGACGGCAGATATCTCCGGTTCTCCTCCCCACCCCAAGGTCTGTTGATGCATAGTCTGTGTCCTCAACCCAAAGTCAAGCATGGTTTGTGCCTGTAGTCCCAGCCCTTGGGAGACTGAATAGCATTTATGGCCGCAAGTTCAAGGTTAACCTGGGACATCTAGTGAGTTCCAAGTCCAAGCAGGCCTGTAGAATAGGACTCTGTCTCAAAACAAAACAGTGCCCCTCAGCGTCAATCCCCCTGCAGGTGACCTGACATCTTCACAATTTTCAGTGATTAGGGGCACCATTCTGCCTGCTCTGTGCCCCTTGTCCCAAAGGGAACTTCCCAAACTGCTGCATTTCTTGTACCCAGTATGTGAGTTAAGCTTTTGTGATTACTCTCCCCTGCTGCATGCCTCCCCCAAGGTCTGTCCAGGCCCTCAGTCCTGCCTTTGAATGTTCAGTGGGGGTTCGTCTGGGGTGCCAAGTCCTGATGGGAAGCCCTCTGTGCCATCCTCTCAGCCCCTCCCCATCTCTGTCTGTCCCATCCATGACCCAGGAGCTGGACAGGCTTGGCAAGCACTCTGTCACTGAGCCCCGCCCTCAACCCCACAGTGTTTATTATTGTTTTTATTCCTGGCTCTATGGGCTGGGGGTGGGGTAGGAAAAGAACTTGGAAGATGAGATGGGGTCCTCTGGAGACCCTGAGTGTGCCTGTGTCTCTCTGAGGTGCTGGGACAGCTATGTATTACCCTTGTCCCCTCTACTCTGTCTTTTGTCCCCCATACTCTTCAGATGCCATCTCGTCCACAGTAGATGGCTCTGGGTAGCCTGAGATCACATGCAGACACAGGTCTCTTCTTCCAGCAGTGGGCAGCTCCCAAGATAGCTCTCTGGTCTTCAGATCCTGCATCATGCCTCCCCACCACACACACACACACCGCCTTTTGTTTAGTTTTTTGACATAGGGTTTCTCTGTGTATGTAGCCTTGGCTGCCCTGGAACTTGCTAGTAGACCAGGCTGGCCTTGAACTCACAGAGATACATCTGTCTCTGCCTCCCGAGTGCTAGGATCAAAGAGATGTGTCACCACTGCCCAGTGATGCCCTCCCTTTTGAGTGATGTGTTTCTGACAGAGGCACAAAGCAAAGCTTCCAAGATTTGGCTATGGAAGTTTCTCTCTCATTTGCTGCACCCTCCCTCTGGCTCTCACTTGCTTCCAAATGTAGGTTAAGCCCACTGCCATTTTGGGAGTCCTCTGTGAAGAGGTCAACATGGCAAGGAAATACACCAAGGGAGGCCACTAGTCAACAGCCATTGTCAGAATGACACCCTCATCCAATAATGTGGAAACTCAGACTTGTCCATCCCCAGCGTGGAAAGGATCTTGGAAAGAACCCCTTCCTCAATAGTCCTGGAGAGGGTGGCAGTCAGACGCCTTGATGGCAGTCTGATAGAGACCCTGAGCCAGACGACCCACCAAGCCCCTCCCAGATTTCCGAAACTGTGAAAGAGAAGGATACAAACCTCTGCGATCAAGTTAGGTCGTCAGGCAGCTCTAGATGATGGCCTGCTCCTCAGCCAACTGACGGCCTTGCCACTCCTTTCTCCATTGCCAGCCAGCCAGCCATCTCTTCCTGTCCTAAACTGAGATCTCCCCGGTGTCCCTGGTCTCCACACTCTCCTGAGTTGCCTACCCATAGCCGTGGATGCTCCCCAAGAAGATCCCCCCACCTCACCATTAGACTCAGCTCCACTTCTCTGGCTCCTGAATGGATATTTTATCTGGATGTTACTCTAGCAACCCAAGTCTCATCGCTGCCCTGCATCATCTGGGTACCTGCTTTGCATCAGTACTAGAGTTCTCCTAGGAATGGGGTCCGCAGCCTCCTGCCGTTCTCCAGGGCTCTCTTCACTGCCCATTTAAGTCTCTAGCCCTGACTTTTAAGGCATCTTATATCGACGAGTCCAAAGAACCTATATTTCCCATGGAAGCCTCCTTGGTCACTTTCTCGCCTTCAGCCCCATTTGGCTCTAGCAGATGGACCAGGGTTTGAAAGCCAATTCCACGTTCTCTTGCTCAAAGTTCCCACTAGTCTGTCTGCTTCCCTGACCTCAGATCTCTACCCCGAAGAACTGTTAACACTGGGGAGCAGTTAAAAGCGACCAGCGCTCCAGATGTTTGCCTACGGGCAAATGTTGGAGATGACACATCTGCCTATGGCCTACTACTCATCAGCAGAAACAGATGAGTTAGTGACATACCTCAGTCCAGTGAACACACAGGGAATTTGACAGCCAGGAAAAAGCCAATCTTACAGACTTGCTTACTGCCCGACTCCAGAGACCTCGACAGCAACACTAAAGTGACAAACTTCAGGAAGTGTGGAATGGATTGGCAGCTGTCCAGGTCAAGAGGGACAGGAGGGGCCTCTAAGGGGCAGCCTTAGCGACAGAGATGTCTGTTTCAGCATCACGGTCTTGGCTGGGATAGCCGTTAGATGCTCTGAGGCGTCACCAGTGAGAGAACTTAGGCTGTGAGGACATGGGACCTATGTGTAGCACTTCTTACAATGACATGTCAATCTAGAATTATCTCAAGCCAGAAAAAAGGTTAGGATTTTTTTTTTTAAGCGGGAGATAGTTTATACATAGCAAGTTCCAGGACAGCCAAGCAGCCAGGGCTACATAGTAAAGTGAGAAAGAAGCAGGTGAATCTCTGTGAGTTCAAGGCCAGCCTGGTGTACATATTAAGTTCCAGGACAGTCAAGGCTACATAGTGGGATCATGTCTGAAAAAAAAAATGGCTTGGGTTATGTAGAATTCAATTTACAACTTAGGGGCACATGGAATCCTAAAACAATGTGGAAAAAAGACGAAAGAATCCAGTGTGGTGTAGTGCTGTTGTACCAGTTCATGGGAGGTTGAGGCAGGAAGATCATAGGTTAAGGCTACCCAAGGTTACATGTGGAGAGTCTGTTTGAAAATACAAAATATATAATAAAAATGAATGTGAATTGAATGAGAAAATCCAATGCTGCTCCTTATCCACTCTATGGTTCGTATCTAAAAGCCGATGCCTTTTACCCTGTCAGGAAGGGCACCTGCAGAAAGCAAGCAGAGGACTGCTTGCCTTGCTTGCTGACTCAGCTTCTGGGCCCACATGGAGTGAGGTTGAGTCCAGAGGGTCGTAGGTCCTTCCTTCTGCCCTCAGAGGAGCCGTGGGAAGGAGCAGGGAACTCAAAAAGGGGAAGGGGACTAATGGGGCTAGGGAAGGTCTTCAAGACAGGGTGTCCAAGCTTAGGGACTGAGTGACCACAAAGAGGAAGTCAAGGAGAGTGACCTCTGTCCTGCGGCCATGCTCTGCTCTGTCTCCTCCTTGATATTCTCTGTACCCCCAAGTCTTTGGTGTGTGTTGTGAGTGCATACGTTGTATGTGTGTTTTATGTACTGTTATGTGTGTTTTGTGGTGTGTGTGTGTGTATGTGTGTGTATGCGCGCGTGCATGTGTGTGCTGATGCCCAATACAGTAGTCCCAACCAGAGACACCTTCATCCCGTGAAGGTCACATCTTGCCTCAGCACCACATTCCAGCTCTCGGGGAAATGACTGCTCTGAATGGTGTT